AGGGAGTTTTTCCTCTCTACTGTCACTACATCCATGCTTGGTGTGAGGGATTGCTTTCGAGTCAATTAGTCGATGCAATCAGCCTTTTGCCCTTAGATAGAAAACTTTAAACCAATCTAACAGAATGATCTGGTTGAATTCTCTCTGTAAAATGCCTTGAAATGACGTGTTTTGAATTGGTGCTATGGAAATAAACTGTATTGAATTTTAATTTTGGCATCAGTCCTTTTGTCTTACAGCCTCTGTATGATTCTCATTAGTGTATATTTTAGATCCTTTTAAACTTTAAACTCTGTAACACCAATGACTTTTCCTTGAAGCTGAGGAATTTCACCAAAATTGTACGGTGTGCTCTTTCCAGCTCAATGTCTCATGAAAACTAACTTCCCCTTAATGATTTGCTTGACTTTCTCCTCAGAATCTGTCCAAGCTTCTCCCACTGATTCCATGACTCCTTCAAAGACTAAATTCTCACTCTTTGATTGTCCTCCTAAATTATCTGATGTGTCTGTAGCAGCTAGGAGGCTGTCACACATCTGAACTCTAATCTGGGTGTTCAAAGTCTGAACAGAGTGAATCAGTGTTGTGGGAAAAAAAGTATTCAACTATTCACCCTAGTTCGATAAACGGAGATCGATGGATTTCGGCACATTTATTCATATCTTTGAAAAGAGAGAACAGTCATCATACAGCCCTAATGCACAGCATTCTGCCCCGTCTGATCTGGGCAGCGTTTGTTCCTCCTTACTTGCAACAATTGAAAGTAGTCAGAGTAAAAAAAAAATACACACACTTTGATTTAGCAGTAAAATGTTATGAATAAACCTTGAGAAAGAATCTGATTTGTTATGGGAAAAAGCTATGTCTGGTCTACAAACACCATCCTCCAGAGAATGGTGTGGCCTTGAGAGAGAAAAAGACTGAGTGAAAACTTTTATAGAGAGTAAATAGGACAAATTATTATATAATAGAAGAGAGATAAAATTTTCCGACAACAACCAGTCAGACAGGAGCTTTGATAACAGATCCTCCCTGCAGCTACGGATCATGTCTATCATTTCAATGTACAAAGATATCTGGTCTTGATTTTCTTTATTCTCATTCTTCTGCAAAATAGCAACTTTGTCTGATCATTTTTTTATATATAACTTTATTAATACGAACTGGAACATACATTAACGAACAGCAACAAAAACTCTTAACATTACGTGTGTGTCCCCGAGCCTTCACCGTTTGCTGTGATGCTTTTTTAGAGTGACATAAAAATGCTGCTAAAAGCAGACAGATATTTGCTTTACTACTTTTTTACTGTTTACTTCAGGTACAGTGGTACCCAGCTGAGCCTGTCGCTGAAGCCTGATTTCTAAATAACCCCCATCCTCATGAATGAAGACCAGAGGTGGACATGTTAGAAAGAAGTATTAACTCCAGAAATGACAAAGATTTCCCTTTTTCTAATATAGTCAGATTGTCTTTGTTGAATTCCCTACAATCACTGCAATAGTAGAGATAGAACGATGCGTCAGCCAGACGATATTTCTGACTAATATTAGTGTTTTTTCCGTGTATCGGCCGATAAGTGCAATGCAGTTGAAAACAGCATCATAACATCATAACTATGTTATTTATCATCATCTAC